ACCCCCGGATTTCCAGTAAACTGTTCCAAAGTAGGCGTTTTGTCTGCTTTTCCCCATGTGGCTGTCCCCGCAATGTCACTATCTGCATTTTCGTCGGAGCTACTGTCACTTTTACTGTCTGTGGCCTCAAATCTTTGTTGTCCCCTGTCACTGCCACTATCTGAGTCTATCACTACACATCTCACAAGGCATGTCAGATAGCTCATCGGAGAACAAGTCAGATATTTCTTGTTCTCCAAGAAAACGCTTCGACCTCAACCTCTTTCGACCTTGATCCATTTTGCACTACTAACTTCCTGCCTGGTGCATGCAGCTGGAAGATGAACAGAGGTATTTTATTTTGGAATGGGAAAGGAAAACAGTTGGGTCATGTTGCTGACTACGAAGCAAACATTCAAGAGGTCTATCACGCACCAGTCATGCATCTGCCTGGCGCCAGTACAAGGTATAGTGTGTTTCAACATAACATGTCCTAAAATCATAATATTATGCAACCGGTCTGCCAAGTTTAAAAGCGAAAAGCATAATATTATGCTACCGGTTTTCAAAGTGCTAATTTTCTGTTTCATGTTTGTTTTTATTGAAAAATTACAATGAGCAAATGTGCATTCACATACAATTTCAGTCTCTGAAAAGAATGTGTCCATAATTCTGAACTCATTATAAGGAAGTAAAACATCATATAATGTATAGATAAAAACAAGAAATCTAACTATATTCAAACAACTGACTTCAGAATGATTATTTATATATATATAGTGTAGATTATTTTGCAGAAATAATTTTTCTTCAGGATTACATGTTTTGTAGACCACCACATTTTACTTCACTACACACACCATTTTCACAGTAACTGAGAAATGAAGAAATTTGCATCGCCTAGGTTAACATCAGTTTCCTTATTTCTGGTATAAATTCCTGCAATTAACAGCTGTGGCATTTCTTCTTTAAGTTTTTCCATACATTTCTTATCTAATGAACTACAATCTTGAACATGGAGTTCTGTCAAATGGACAAGAGTGGATGGAATCAGATGAAAATTAATTCCTGATAGATGAGAATTGCATGAAAGTTCAAGAACCTCAAGTTGTTTGCTTTTGAATATGTGTTCCATGACATCATCTGTCATTTCAGGACAATTTTGAATACTAAGGTACTTGAGTTTCTGACAGCCTGAGCAAACATATTCAGTGCCTTTGTTTGTCAGCTTGTAGCAATCTGCAACACGAAGATGACTGAGGTTTGGACATCCAGCACCAACATATTCCATGCTTTTGTCTGTGATTAAAGAACAACCAGCAGTATCAAGAAATTGTAGATTCTTACAGTTACCAATATACTGGAAACCATAATCTGTAAGTGCACAGTCTTCAACAGTAAGTCTTTGGAGTTGAGGGCAGTTTTTCAAAATCACAGTTAATGATGAACCATCAAAATCATTAGAGTTATATAAGCATAAAGTAATTAATTTAGACATTGACTCATTCTTAAATATGGTGGATACATTTCGTGTCTGACCTTCTTTAATAGCTATAAGTGTCAAATTGCGCATTTGTGACAAGTTTGAGAGACAGTGTATGTCTGTACCTGGCAGATCATCATTACAATGTTCATAAATGAGATATTCCAGGTTTGCACATTCTGTCAAGAATCTGTGGGCTACATTTGACATGTAGCCTCTATAACAGAACGACAAAAGCTGTTGTCCCTTTTTTTCCAAAAAGTATTCAACATCTTGATTTTGGAATATCCCAAATCCTAGATCTAAGCATTGTAGAGATGGACATCCATCAGCAATTGCTCTTAGTACCCCATTTGAAACTGTGGAAACACAGTGACTGGTAAAACTTAATGTTGTCAATTTTTGAAACTGTGCCACTAGATCTGCAAAATATAATTGATCTGTTTCTTTGGGGAGAGGGATAACGAGCTTCTCTATATGGGGAAATTTTTTAAGAATCTGATGCAATGTTGAATTACGCAGCTTGTGGGAATATCCGAAGTATATGTGTCGAATATCTCTACAGTATTTGCACAGTGTATCAACGACTTTCGTGTTTGTTCCTCGACTTGGACAGAACGATCGTAGTGCTGGCATATTCCTTAGATGTCTTGATATTTCCTCATCGCTCATCTTGCACCCAGGACTAAAGGTTTGGTATTCCCATAGTGAATCATCTTGTGAGACATTCTTCCAGTGTGAATTAACATGTTGTACAGACATTGCAAGGTCTTCAATACTCAAGTTTGAGAAAATTATCAGCAACAGCTCATCTGGTAAATCTGTAAAATGTTTCCCAGAAGCCATTGTGGAGGGGTGAGGGGAGAACAGCTCCACAGTCACCAGACTGAAACAATTTGAAGCAAATTTAACAGTGACAAATACACTTCTCTGTTGTGAGTTTTCAGTATTTCAAATGTCTTCGTCCGAAGATGCGTGAATTTCGTATACACATACAGAATGATGTTTTATTGCAAAGTAAAAAGTAAAGTAAAGCTATCCTGTACCAGGCCATGAAGGCCCATAGGGTTGTGAGATGAGGGTCCCACATTATCTAAACAATCAGCTCAAAGATGGGGGTGAGGTTGTCAGCCTTATGTGCCGACCGTGCTTTACTCTACAGGAAAATTATTTAATTAATTCCTGGTACTCAAATCTGTTAGAGGCTGAGTCGACCCCAGGGCCATAGTGCGGCCGGAAGGATTAGGTCAATTGAAAGAGTTCCCCACAAAAACAAGACCATAACTGTCAAACAGTAATAGATATCTGGCCATGAGCCTGAGATGGGACTAGACACCAAGACTTACTGACTGACTGTCAGCCGCAATGTGACTTTGACTTCGGTTAAATCAGGGAAACCCGTATGGAGGCAGGGTCGAATACCTCCACCATGACCCTGCGAGTCGTAGGAGATGACGAATAGGGAAGTCCCAAATCTGAGACAGTGAAATATTGCCGCGAGTACCAAGGGACTCGGACTCCAGAGAGACTGCGCTGGCAAGGCCCAGAAGCATGTACAAAAGACAGACCCTTCTTCTCGTCTGAGAGGGCACCCCACAAAAAAGAAGACCGTAACTGTCAAACTGTAATAAATATCTGGTCATGAGCCCCAGGTGGGGATTGACACTAAGACTTACTGACTGACCGTCAGTCGCAACGTGACTTTGAATTTGACTTGAAGAATACACTGTTGGAGCCGTTACCAGGCAACTACTAGTGAAGACACTGCGGGCTGGAAAATATTTAGTGTGTGCTTTAGTTAATTGTAAAGTGGAAATTAGCGATGGCGCTCTAATTATGTGCAGTTACGAGTTGTGTGTTGAAGTAGTCAATAAATCGAGTCACCAATTCAAACTCCGTCTGTGGTCACACTGATACTATGTGACGATACGAATAGACGTTATATTAAGGAAAGTAACATATTAAAACAGTGTCAAATGACGGGCGAAGCATTTACATTAACATTCAGTAACAGTGTTGTCACGTGTCGTGCGTGGCGAAATGACGGGGTCTAGTTCGGATCATTGGATTTATTAACATCTTGGTTACATACTCTTAATTACGCTTAAATACATGCAATACGGCGCAATCGATAAATTACCCACTTTCCAGTTCATCATTGCACACGCACTAGGAGCGACCGCATTAATTATGTTAATTACTAGCTGTACCCGGTCACGCGTTTCTGTGGCAGATCGAGTGAATTAAAAAATTCTGTTGGATAATTAACCGCTTCATCTGCTTCCACAACAGTGTCGACGGACTTGTATGTGACTGCCTCGCAGTGAATGTTAGACTGAATGATATTGTTAAGTTCGTAGACGTCTTTGTTCTTGGCCGCAAGCTCGTTCACTCAGCCAATCGTGATTCTTATAATTGGTTTGTATATTGGGAAATACTTTTTCAACCAATTCTTCTTTTGACGTCACTAAATTGCAGAAGTTATGAGGCAACGAAATTCGTCCTGAGTTCAGATCAACCGGCACCTTTCCGTTTCCAATTTCCAGCAATTAATGTGAGAATATCTCAGCTGATCGATCATTCTGCAGCTGGACACGCATATTTGTAGTTAATTTTAACGTCTTTACGTGTCGCCACAAAGTATAGTATTTCAGGCAAGCATTTATTTCGTCCGCTGGTGTCGATCGAGGAATTACAGGTAATGTTTGCCTGGAATCTCTTGCAAGCAATATTAATGCGTTCCCAAATGGTCTTATCTTTCCATGCAAATCTTGCAATGATCGATGAAGAGCCTCGAGCGATTTTTTTTGCGCCATTGTGCATTCATCCCAAACAATAAGTTTACATTTCTGCAATACCCTTCCTATGCCTGATCCTTTGGAAATGTTGCACATGGGAGTTTCAATGAATTGCATGTTCAATGGCAATTTCAAAGCGGAATGAGCAGTTCTTCCACCCGGTAGCAATGTCGCAGCTATTCCGGACGACGCAAGAGCTAAGGCTATATCATTTTGGGATCGAATTGCTGCCAGAATCAATGTAATTAGGAACGTTTTACCAGGTCCTCCTGGCGCATATAAGAAGAAGAATTCTGCAACCCAGTTATTGACAATTTGCATTATTTGATCGTAAATGCCTTTTTGGTCAAGCGTTAGCTTAGGAATATTTGATTGCACATATGACAAAAGATCACCCGTGTTGTAATTTTGTTCACGACGCAATTCTACACCGAACGAAACAGCAGCAGATCGATTCGGTGATGGCATTCCAAATCGATTGAGAACTTTGTTCGCGATTTCTAAGCACAAATCTTCAATTATCATCAACGCTTCGTTGCAGATTTCTGCTGTGAAATCAATGTTCATATTGAAATTTTCCTTGCGTATTCGACGGAAAATATCTTCAGCCATGTGCGATTTATATTTCTCCCATAACTCTGTTGGAGATGAAGGAGAGAAGGCGGTCAATATGATTGCAAACAATGCACGAATTTGATGTGGATGTGACGTGTTGCACGCGTCAGTAATGCATGTAGCGTGTTTGGGTATGTCACGCTACAAATAACTTTACGCCGTATTAATTATAGCGAATCTTTATTGTAATTCACTTGCACCCTTTCCAATTATCGCCACTTGGAGTATTAGAGTTACTGGTTACACAATCTCACAGCCAGTACTTCTGTATCTCTTGGCGTCTAGGTTCCAACCTTCTTCAGCGGGAGCTATTCCAAGACTGACTGGGCGAATGAATTCAGCCCCCTTTAATATCCTCGGCCGCTGCTATGCAAATGAGCCCTTGTCATAACCGCGGAAACGCTGCTTTGTTGATTCCGCGATTCCTACGCAACGACCCATTGTTATTGCGTTGTCTCTGTGGGAACGCTCCGTGTATTCGTCGTAACCATGGAGATTCGATACAGTATCGCTATTGTTACTTCCTATGCAACGATCTGTTCTAGCGTTTCCATAGGGGTCTCTTCTGAATTCCAAATTCCAATTCTGTTTTTCAAAAGGAGCATGTTTTTACCTGTCACAGGTGTGACATGTATATAACAGGTATATAAAAACGCGCGCATTCGATTGCAACGTTGTGTCAAAATTTCGAAGCAATCGGTGAAGAACTTTCGGAGATTTTTGAGGGGTAACAAACCAACATTTACGTTTTTATTTATATGGATTATAATTATATTTTTTACTATCTGTACCCGGCCACGCGTTGCTGTGGCTCAGTATAACGAAATATTTCAATTCAAACGCAGATCAATCGACATAGCTCAATCCCACCGCCAATTGCATTGAAAAATAAGGAAAACAGTTAAGAAAACGAAATGAAAAACTATTAAAAAAATAAACTATACTCACGAAATGAACGCTATGGTAAACGACACAGCCCACTTCCAACGCAATGTCACACGAAATAATTAAATCAAAATGAAAATAAATCCAAACTGTTTATATTCGGCGGTAGCTATCCCAAGACTGACTCCTTCGGCGGTTACTTCCAGACTCTCTTCTGTATCCCTCGGCATCTGCCCCGAGACTGACTGCTTCTCAAAGTCAAAGTCATGTTACAACTGACGGTCAGTCATTCTGTCTGTGAAAGTTTCTGTCCTGCCCCAGCTGGGGCTCATGACCAGATGTTTTCTTCATTGTGAAAATTGCTGTCCTCTCCGTTTGGGGCGCCCTCTCTGAAGAGAGGTCGGGTCTGTCGTTTGTCAGTCAGTCTGTATTAAAAGTCCACTGTCTGTATTTATATAATTTACAAATCCACAATTGTACCTTTTATGTACAATATATACAAGGCCTCTGTCAACCCAGGCATGGTACAGCAGATTATGCCCTATTTCTAGTAGTAATCGCTATCACGGCAGTCTAGTAACTTGAACGGTCGTATGCCTGACCACCGCCAAGTTTAAGCCTCTTATACTTTCTGTGGCTGGCTTCGCCTTGTCCAATGTTGCGAACATTCTCATTATCATGATTTTGTATGACTTCTGCTTGTTGCCTGCATAATTTTGTTATGTAATCATATACGTATTGAATTTTGAATGCCATGTGCAATTCGCGGACCGGTGTGCGCCTTGGAAAATTGCCAATCGTGCGGAGAACCTTGTTTTGCAGGCGCTGCAATTTAACTAGATGGGTGTCTGCCGCAAACTCCCAGGCGGGACTAGCATAAGTCATTACGGATCTAATAAGAGCTTTATGGAGGGTCAATTTAATGTTAGCGCTCAATCGCTCACTTTTGAAAAGGGAATATACTGTAATGAATGTTCTGAAGGTCTTGGCTTCGATCATTTCTATGTGTAATCTCCATGT